TGACATAATGACCTTAAACATGTACTTATTAATAAAGCCGATATATTTTAAGCCTTGACCAAGTTGCGAAGGAATGACTTTCTAATATTATGTATTTGCCGTTGAAAAAAATAGTCTGCATCATCAGACATACTTTCTTGACGGTTCGTCAGAGTGCTTAGCATCGGTCAAGCATGGATGAGAGCATTTGTAATCGAAGGTTAAATTAACTAATGCTTAGATTTACGAAACAATTTGCAATGCTTAAAGCAAAATTATGACTAGTTTTTACTTGGCTTAAAGCACTAATTAACTATTTTTCTTTTTATTGATTTAATTAATAATGTTTAGGTATTCTCGATAATACATTTTTCTGGATCTCAAGAAACCTAGTATTTTTTTTTGTAAGAGTCCCCGAAAAAAATTTGAAAGTATAAAATTCAAGATTAAACAAATATTATCGTACGGAATTAAGATTTCCCTCACCTTTTTTTAAAATAATTTTTGTATAAATTTTTTCATTGATAAAAATCTGTGATAATTTCGCATTTCAAGCGTTCTTTTAATACTTCCTAAAACGTAATATCAAGTCAGAACTGCAATTTTCTGTGTAGCGAAAAATCAAGAATGATAAAGGAAAGTGATGAAATTGTAAACTAGAGTAAGAGAGAACAGACGAATTCGATAGATCTTGAGGTTTAAGTACGAAAACGATATGGAACCCACGTCAAGAAAGAAAATAGTTTGAAATTTAATTCAGTTCATTTTATTATATTTGGTACATGTAGAAAAATCATTTACAGCTTTTTCATAAAAATGTGTGGCGTTTAGTTATCTTTAGTTAATGATTATTCGTAGATTTTAGAAAAACATTTTCTTTATCGTAACGTTTCGATCTTTATTGAGATCATCTTCACGGCATCTTGAAGACAAGAATGACACATCTACACGGAAAAAACACTCTGAGCCCTGAAGATGATCTCAATAAAGATCGAAATGTTGGCACGATAAAGAAAATGTTTTTTTAAAACGTACTTCACACCAGACCGCATCTCACGATCTCCGACTAATCATTAATGTTTATGATGACCTGGATCCCAAAATTATAAAATTTTCCCTAGACTCGATTATGGCCAAATAAACATTAAATTATATTATAAATAAAATGAGTTTCTTACGTATTGCACTGAATATTTACTAACAAAAATTTATGTAATTGTAACAGAAAATCCTTTCTCGGCTGATTCTTTTGCCAGCCTCAGTCGTAGGGTGTTGTTCCACGAAGAATGAGTGATCAATTCGGCAATTGCTCCTTTTCTGTGGCAGTTTGAAATTTTATAGTACGGTTCGCGTACTTATAGGTGTTGTTCGACGTTGTCAAATTTTAACATCGCAGGCCGTGCGTTTAAGAATTTCGAGCTTTCAACAAAATTTTTCGATTGAAGCACATTGTTACAATTTTACCTTTTAGTCTCTTTGGCGCGTCCGAAATCAAAACAAATAGAGCAAGTTTTACTATAATTTATTATATCTCTTTTCCAGGACTCACCTAGATGAGAGGGAGGTTGATTATCTAAACGTGACCGGTCCAACATAGTAATGAGCCATTTCCTAGGCTTCGCGCCCTTCCTGATTCTGTGGGACCGGCTTAGATCCGCTGTTAGCTTGTAATCTTCTTTCTCCATCTCCCTACACGTATAAATCTTGACGCGATTGTTCTTATTTTGGCGAAAATCGTTTTGTGTTTCCAGCTCTCACCGTCTCTTCCACGGTCACGCACAAAGGACACGAAATTCACCTGACTATTGTTAGGAGGCTGATGGTTAATCAGTAACGATTGGTTACACAAAATATCCTGCCGATTCCAGTAATTTTTTATTTATGAAGCGCATTATTTTTAGTAACCTTTATTGCTAAATTTTCCAATTGACCTACACATTCAATAAGAGATCCGAATGGTTCGTATTACATACAAAAAAGGGCATGATATGAAAGGATATCTATTGATTTGCACGTACGAAAAAGGAGACAGCTAAAAAACTCCATTAGCTATAAAAATATTCCTCCCGCTGATTGCGTGACAAAATATAATCATATTTAGCAGATTTTATACACTCGCGAATTATTATATAAAAAAGAAGTCCTTTTTGACTTATATTATATCTACTTTTAGATTAGAAAGTAGGTGAGGATTTTTATCCTCCCACATATAAATAAAAAGAAAAAGAACGTTTATGTAAGAGAATTAATTTGTTTTTTTAACATAGTTTTTTTTAGTTAAACATTCACCATAAGGACTAATTAATTCTAAAATTCCAATAACAAAGTAGTCTTACCATTTAATTTGCTTCATAAGCTGACAAAACCTAATATAGAAATGTACTGTATTAATTAAAAAATAAATAGGGTGTCCCGTGAACAGACGTCGGTACTTCAGTTGGTTATCCCACACGTCAAATTCGACTAAAAAGTCTATATCGTCCAAAGTCTAATTCTCTATGGTATTCGACAGATTTCATGTTTATTTTCGGCGAGTTTCGACTTTTCGCCATCATCAGTGGGGGGATGTTTCTGTTTACTCAATTCCCATTTATACAAGGCGATCCGTGAATAGAAGTCACGGTCGTCGATGGCCGCAACGGTTTAGGCGTTGACACGGCGCTCATCTCTGTAAGGTGAAGGTCCCGGGTTCGAATCCAGCGGCCCCTCCACAAATGGGCTTTTGGTTTTTTTTTCAAAAAAACCGGCACCCTGAGGGTTTATATCACTTCTGTTGTTGCGAACCCTCGTCAAGAAGAAAAAAAAAACTATTCAAATAGAAGTCAGTACTTCAGGAAGTAGCTTTATATGTCCAATTCGAATAAAAAATCCGTATTGTAAAAAGTCTCATTCTCTATTCTGTTCGAGATATTTCACTTTTCGCGTTGCTTCAGACTTTCATAAGTTTATTCCATAAAATTAAACGTATCTCAGAATATCTTAATCATACTGGCAATTTGATAACACTATCTACGTCACAATTAACCAATCTCATTCTTTTTTGCTATTTCTTTTTCATCAAACTCCTTTTTGAATGTGAACATTCACGGGTTTGCAAAGTTCTTGTCTAAAGTTTAACTATGATTTTCTATGTTCTGTAAATACTGACAGATATGGTGCTTAAAGAAAAGTTGCCTCCTCTGAGATGTAAACACATGTACTTAATTTATCAAAAGACAGTTATCACGAATGTAAAATTAACGGTTAATTGCTCAAAAATTTGATATTTCGGTTACAAATGGTTCCAAAAAATTAGTTATCAATATATTGAAACTTCTGTTAAAAATAGTAATAGTCATACGAATGGACAAAACAGTCTTTTTGGTACAAAGTTGAACATAAGAAAAAACAAAAGCTTTCGAAAATTAAATTAAATTACAATTAATTAAGGTTTTTTAGTTGAGATAAAAAAGTCAATGGCACGAGCGGGATTCGAACCCACGATCTTCGGCTGGATACGCCGCTGCACTACCACTTGAGTTATCGTGACTTCGATCCACTCAGACACTAACTTCCCATCTCAACCGCACCTTTTGAATTTTCCCTCCTTTTTGCCATTTTTCAAATGTCGTGTAATCGGATTGGATTCTCGACGACAAATGAAATGGCCACGGAGAGCTTTAGTGAAGATATACTTCATTTTATATCATTAAATTCACTAATTTCGTGGTCCCCATGACCAATTAATATATTAAAATTAATTAAGGTTTTTAGTTGAGATAAAAAAGTCAATGGCACGAGCGGGATTCGATTTGAAAAAATGGCAAAAAGGTGGGAAAATTCAAAAGGTGCGGTTGAGATGGGAAGTTAGTGTCTGAATAGATCGAGGTCACGATAGCTCAAGTGGTAGAGCAGCGGCGTATCTGCCGAAGATCCTGGGTTCGAATCCCGCTCGTGCCATTGATTTTTTATCTCAACTAAAAAACCTTAATTAATTGTAACATATTAATTGGTCAAGCGGACCACGAAATTAGTGAAATTAAATTAAATGTTCTTTTATGTTCATTGGGGAATGGAAGCCCAAGAAGGTTGACATTTTGAACATTTAATCTTTAGAAACTTTTTTTATTGCATTTTTAATGACTATTTTTGTACTGTTTTTGAACCGTTTGTAACCGAAAACTCTTCTTTTTGTTTAAACTAAACCTTAATTTTACAGTTTTGATAACTGACCTTTGTGAAAGAAAGAATTTAACTTAGGGCGTCCGTGGCCGCAATGGTTTAGGCGTTGACACGGCGCTCATCACTGTAAGGTAAAGGTCCTGGGTTCGAACCCGATATACTTACAAATGTTTTTGTTTTTTTTTCAAAAACACCGGCACCCCGAGGGTTTATATGACCTCTGCTGTTGCGAACCCTCGTAAAAAACATAGGGACATCTATAAGCCCCATAATCTTGACGTATTTATAGAACCAAGAAAATCTTACTTAAATAGACAGGAATTTTTAAAACTCGATAAATTTTGACTTCTAAATGATGTTTTTTTTTGCTTTAGTCACAAAAAAATACAAATGAATCTTATTGGATTTTTAATGCTCTTTCCTTTAGTGTAATCAAATTTACAAAAGGATTAACATTTGATGAGATATGAAGGACTTTATTCCATAAAGTTATGAAAGGTTAAAGTTATCTGAAACATGAAATGAAAAATGAAATCTTTGTAATACAATTGAGAATCAGACTTTGAATAATAGAGGTTGTTTTTAGTTCATTTTGACGTTTAGGGTAACCTACCGTAAGTACCGACGTCTGTGCACGGGGCACCCTGTATATTTTTTTGTTAATAGTAATAGAACCCTGAAATATCGACTTTAAAACATTGACTACAGTTTGGACAATGCACAATGCATACAAGCGACCTTTTTCTGATTAAGCGTTGTTTTACTTTTCATATTCTTATATTGGTTTATGTTGTTCTGTTTTGATTAATTATGCTATGATTGCTTCTGTTGTATCAAATACGTAACAAATAATTTTTCAGCGATCGACTGTTTCGGACCATGGCGGACATAGTCGTCTCGGAAGGGTACGCCGCTCTCGGCTACGAATACATCAACATCGACGACTGCTGGCTGGACAAGGAGAGATCTTACACAGGACAACTGCAGCCGGATCCAGTCCGATTCCCATACGGGATAAAAGACCTTGCCAACTATGTAAGTTCAAAGTCCTTGTAGAACTGCTCTGATAACTGACCTAAATTACGTTTGTGTCGTCGAAAGGGAAACAATGAAAGTTATCGTCCTGTACTCTAATTATGATTATGTTCGTGCCATGAAGAAATGACCGTGGGGCAATTGTCAGCAATAATTCGACCATTTTGACTGTCTATAATCTTCGTTTATGGCTTCATTGTACGTGTTGAGGTTTCGTGTTGAGAAACTGCTAAAGGAAATTTTTAGCAAAGACTTGCTCCTTGCGATACTAACATTGAACATTTCTAGTGCCTTCCCTGTTGAACTCCTTTCATAGGGGTAGTTTAACGCCAAGAGGTATCAAAGTAAAAAATGCGCAGGTCGAACTGTTGTTTCAGTTATTATTAAAAGTTAATCCATTTATGTTTTAGTGGTCAATTGACCACGTTACTTCTTCCAATTAATTATTCTTTTATGTAAGGTCTTGTTGAGATAAAAAAAAGTCAGTGTCATGAACGGGATTCGAACCCACGACCTTCGGCTAAATACTGCTCTGAAAATGGCAAAAAGAGGGAAAATTCGAATGGTTGTAGGTTGAGATGGACAGTTGGTGTCCGAGAGGATCGAAGTCACGATAGCTCAAGTGGTAGAGCAGCGTCGTATTTAGCCGAAGGTCGTGGGTTCGAATCCCGCTCGTGACAGTGACTTTTTTTATCTCAACCACGACCTTACATATTATGAAAAGTTTAAATCATTTATTATCAACGACTATTTCTTAAAATAGTTAAATATCGAATGCTAATTTATTTTTCAGATACATTCTAAAGGCTTGAAATTCGGGATTTATGAAGATTACGGAAACTACACTTGCGCCGGGTACCCAGGAATTTTGGGATCTTTGGAAACGGACGCATTGACCTTCGCTTCTTGGGACGTCGACTATGTCAAGCTCGATGGATGCTACTCCCATCCACGTGACATGGATATAGGTAATTTTTATTTTCGATCAAAACCTGTTTCAAATCCAATTTGTCGGATTTCTTCATGGGAAGTTGGGTCGTTTTCCGATCATTTTGGCCTTCATTATGGTTGGTCTATGTCACTAGACAGTCCCAGCAATGAATGGGTTAAAAAGAACGCGTCTGGCCAAAAGTAATTGACGACAAACTATAAATTCAATTTGGCTTCTCGCCGATTGCCCCCCCCCCAACCAACGGAATTTCAAAGTCGCCCGGTATTCTTTTTCGCCTAAGTATGCCACCCGGCTCGTTTCTTCACCCTTTTTACTTTACCAAGGTGAACTAGATTCCAACTTTATACTTATTAACTAAACAAATAACTGGCTGAAAAAAAAAGAAATTTTTTAAAAACATTTCCGCCTCTGACAAAACCAGTATATCGGCAATCTACTGCATCTTAAAAATCACAAATATGACATCGGTCAAATTTGAATAAATTAAATCTACCGCATTACCATTATCCAATACTTAATGATGTTTCAATCCACTGGATTAATGACAACAATGAACAGTTACATATTAGAAAGATTTCATTTTTCAGGTTACTTCAACCTTTCACAACTTTACTCCATAAAGTCCTTCTCATAAAATGTTAATCCTTCTGAAATTTGATTGTGCCATTGGAAATAGCATTGAAACCCATCTCTTAATTTGTTTATTTTCTTATGACCTAAAGCAAAAAAAACAAATCATAAAGGTTAATCTTTAGCGAGTTTTCAAAGTTCTTGCCTAAAGTTAAAGTAAGATTTTCTTGTTTCTCTATGTACTGACAGATATGGGGCTTACAGAAAAGCTGTTCCTACCAACGAACTGTACATAAATTCTCACAGGTCAGCTATCACCAATGTAAAATTAACGTTAAAATGAAAAAAAACAACTTGATTTTTCAGTTCAAAACAAAAATAGCCACTAAGATATTGAAATATCTATTAAAAAATAATTAAAGTAAAGAAAAGTAAATTAAAAACACTTTTTGATGCCAAATTGAACATAAGAAATAACAAGAAGCTTCTAAAATTCAAAATTAATGTTCAGTAAGTCCACCCTCTATGGAGAGTGGAAGCCAAAAATGGTATATATTTTGAACATTTCATTTCATTTTTAGAAGCGTTTTGTTTTTTCCTTAGGTTCAATTTTCAACTAAAGTCTTTTTCTTTTACTTTGTATTTTTTTTATTACTTTCATGTACATGTGTTTATTGCTCATTAGTAGGGACAATTTTTCTGTAAAGGCATATCTGTCAGTATTTAAGAAGCTAAAAAAATCTCAAACTTATTAAAGTGAGTAAAACAATGTTACCAAAAATATTTTTATGAAACCAGTGAAGAAAATTTTCAATTCAGTATGGAGTATTGAGATAGCCGCTTACGTTCAACCTGGATTTATGAGGTTTTGAATGTAGTGCTGTGGAATATTTTCGTACTCCTCCAACAGCGCCATTCTTAATTCTTGCAACATCTCTGGCATCGCTGGGTGACTTTATACCCTTTTTGATAACTCGTCTCAAAGGTGTTTGATAAGGTTTAAGTCGGGACTACATGCTGGCCACTCCAAACATTGAATTGAAGCTAGTTCCAAGTAAACTCCAACGATCCTAGCCGCGTGCGGCCGTGCATACAAACAAAACTGTCGCCAATTAGTGGCATACAAGGAAGAACTTCTACTGATAACACATCTTCAATCTATCGCGAAGTGGTTAGGGAACCCTCGATGAAGATCAAGTTTGTGCGCCTTCCATAGAACTGTCTGCTCAAACCATAGCACCAGCTACCTCCATAGCTTGTACGGAGTGAAATGTTGCGGGGATATGTCGCTCTTCTGTTCATCTTCAAAACCTCTCTTGGCTGTCAGAAGGCATCAAACAAAACCTTGATCGTCCAAAACCAAGATTTTATTCCAATCTCGCTCAGACCAATTCATACGATTTCTTGCGAAACCTAGCTGTCCTGTGCCTTGTGAGAAGTTCTCGACTAACATTTCTAGTTGAAGTCGTTGCTTGATCTCAACAGCGGTAGAATGTCGATTATGGAGTACATTGAAAACAATGAAACGATTATCTCTCTGAGTTGTGACACAATGGCGACCTTCTTGAGTAACCTCCAGTATCTTGGTAGCGATGGAGTTGTTACTAGGGTAAGTTGTTCTGGGAATTTTAAGCACCCTGGCCACTACGCTTGACGTCTTCCATCTTCCAACAATGTTATGATTCAAGCCGAATCTGCATCAGTTACAACCTAAAACTTAAAAAAATCAAACCACAAAACGTTACAAAGAAGCTTTACAGAAAAACCAACAAAGACGAGATCGACTATTCAAAGAATTATTCACAAAATCCAATTGTAAACAGAAGTGGGAGATTTTATTTATCTCTAATCCTTTAACATGGACTATTATTGTAATATAATCAATGGAAGATAGTCTAAGAGTCAATTAAAATATTAAGGGTGGCCATATTTGTCCTCTCAGTGTATATTTTTTAACAACTATACCATTGCTGTTTCTGTTAAGATAAACTCAATATTCATTCTATGTAATTGGAGAAGATTACTTCTTTTCAGATATATATTGTGATATCCACTGACAACCTCCTTAAGTGCTCAATTTCTGCTTTATATCACTCATATTTTGATTTAAAAATACACTAACAGGCAAAATATTCCACCCAATTGTTTTATTTTTCATTTTCTGGACAAAAGAAAATTCGGCCCTTAATTTGCTCATTGTTTTTACCAATACATATTTGTTTATGCTAGGTTTTAAATTGGTAATATCAATTAGAGGTAAACACACTTAATCCTTAATCCAAAACAAGGATAAAGGATTCTTAATGTTTACTTTTTACGGAATGTAAAGTGTTTATTCAGTCTCATTCGAATTCTGAGGCAATAAACCGTTTAGTTTTCTTTGCTTTCTTAATTTCAATTTTTAAACTTAAAAATGCCGCTCAGTGCTGAGGATGTTGCGCGTGGTGTGGCACTTATTGATGATGGACGTTCCATCAGGTATGCTATTGCCTTGGGTGTCTCCTACGAAGCATTGCGAGACGCCGTTAGACGTTTTCAAGAAACTGGGTCCTACCATAGATGGCCCGGTTCTGGACGCCTAGGGTAATAGAACCACAGGATGACCGTTTTTGAATTTGAGAATTTTGCGAAACCGGCACCTCACTGTTGTTGAATCGATTCATCAGCTCCAGGACGTTCGAGGAGTCCACTTTCTGAACGCACTGCTTTTCGACCCGTAAGAGGACTAGAATTGACCAGAGTTGCACGGCTCCCATTTGCTCGACAGCCGTTCATCTTTAGACAAGTGGTCTGCTGTACTTTTTACATATGAATGTAGACTTGCTCTACGAGCTCCAGATGGGCGTGAAATAGTGTGGAGAAGGCGAAAGGAAACGTACGAAACTTGTAATTTTTCCCAGACCCATCCTGTCCAACGTAGCTCACCGATGGTGTTGGGCGGGAATCTCACTTGAGAGTCGCATAGAATTGGTTGTTGTTCATGGAGGGTCTTTGACAGCCACGTGGATGAAATTTTGGAACATCATGCGTTGCCTATCCTCCATGAAATCAGCGACAATCCTATTCTAATGCACGTTAATGCCCGTCCACATATCGCTCGCATAGTACAAACGTACCTTCAACAGCATAACATCAGGGTCTTAACCTGGCCAGCTACAGACTTGATTCTCATCGAACATTTATGGGTTAACCTCAAAAACGAATAAGAACACGTCCATCACTTCCTGATACACTCTACGATCTTTAAAGGACTGTTCATGAAGAATGGGCTAACCTCCAGCAAAGAGACATTTCCAAACTGGTAGAAAGAATGCCGAGGCGTCTGCGAGATATAATTAAGGCAACAGGAAGAAATACGCGATATTGAAATGGCAATTAAAAATCTAAAACAAAAAACAAATTTTATGTGTCCCTATTTTTTATGTAGCATTGTCCTTAGCAATTTACTTTTTTTTTACTTTCTTAGACAGACTCAATTATTAAACGTTACAAAACGTGAAACTTTGATTAATATACAGGGTGAATTGCTACTCGTGCTACAAACTTCTCCAGTAGATTCTTCACCCTAAAATGAACAAAAAAGTTCATATTGTCCATGGTCCGATTCTCAACCATTTCAGAGTAATTTCGCTTTTTATCGATTTTGAAAGATATCACGTCCTGGCGTCGGAAAATCGTGATATCTTTTAATCTAAACATTTCTCTTAAAATCTATAAGCACCGTTGAAATCCCCGTTAATTTTTAGAGAGAATCAAAATCATAATTCCATTGAAATTTTTTAATTTAATTTAATGCCCATTTAGTATGTAATGCTTAAGAAGTTTACAAACAGCTAGAAGGTCAAGGAAGAAAGACCCAAACGTTTTGCCACCTTCATCTTCTTATTGAAAAATTAACGGGGATTTCAACGGTGCTTATAGATTTTAAGAGAAATGTTTAGATTAAAAGATATCACGATTTTCCGACGCCAGGACGTGATATCTTTCAAAATCGATAAAAAGCGAAATTACTCTGAAATGGTTGAGAATCGGACCATGGTCAATATGAACTTTTTTGTTCATTTTAGGGTCAAGAATCTACTGGTGAAGTTTGTAGCACGAGTAGCAAGTCACTCTCAAACATTAGCAATCCTTGAACCACCATTTTTTCTCTTTTTGTCATCAACATCTTGGTCTCACAACCACTAAATAAGAAAATGACGAGTGCGTTGGAAGCGTTATTAAATCAGGTAGTTTTCCTCAAATTTGCTGCCTTCTGAGACTAAAATTAGAAACTCTGGATTACTTTATACACTTTCCGATTTACACAATTTTCCACTCTTTTTGTAGTTCTGGCTGAAATAAAACACAAAAAATTAGCCCAAACATTTTGCCACCGTCATCTTCTTATTGAAAAATTAACGGGAATTTCAACGGTGCTATTAGATTTTCAGAGAAATGTTTAGATTAAAAGATATCACGATTTTCCGACGCCAGGACGTGATATCTTTCAAAATCGATAAAAAGCGAAATTACTCTGAAATGGTTGAGAATCGGACCATGGACAATATGAACTTTTTTGTTCATTTTAGGGTGAAGAATCTACTGGAGAAGTTTGTAGCACGAGTAGCAATTCACCCTGTATACAAATCAAGTTGTGCTACAAGTGGGTGAAATTTTTTGCCTGTCAGTGTAATTACTCCTTTTATTTCTTCTTTTTTTAATGGGTAGAGTGGGTATAATTCATGTAACATACTCGTTTTGGAAATCAGTAAACTATCGATTATTTTCTAATGCAATCTAAAGCAAGATCGTTTCATGACAATGAATGGAGGATCGGACCTTCGTAGTTGTATTTTTTTTTTTTTTTTTTTTTTTTTTTGTTATAGAGGCTTTAACAACTTCATAAAAGATAATTACATATGAGACAGGAGTAGAGCATTTCTCTGAAATGAAGGGGTTGAAGATGATTGGAAAAAGGAGGAAAGGAAAGTTTCTCCCATTTGATATACCGTTTTGTGATGTCTCGTGGAGACGGGAGGCGTAACGAAAATCGAGAAATCGTCCCGATCCAGACGCGATCTCATTTTTATTTTGCAACGTCCACGACAGTAAATTGGATTGATTCAATGCAGAATAGCCGTAACAATACCGCCATCGACAAAGCAATAAGTCGAAGTACGGCGGTATAGAAAGTTTTTGGGATTTTCTTAACCGAATTCAATTCTGTCCTTCGTCACTTAGGTGAAAAACTTGGTGTCATGAAGTTGGAAAATTGGTTAACGGGCCATCTCTTCACAGGGGGGGGGTCACACTAGGAGACATACATGTCTATTTTCTATTTGACTGTTTGTTTAGTAAACAAAACCATATTAAACGATTTCAAATATATAGCTTTTTTCATCAAATTAATCCTTTTTAACTTTAAATTAACCTTTCTTAATTTCAAACAACCGTTTTTCACTTCAAATTAACCCTTTCTTAAAAGCAATAAAACACTTTAAAAACCATATGACAATTAATTACAATTACCATTAAAAGATATATTCGGTTAAGCATAAAAACAAATTATTTTTCTATTGTTATTTGGAGATTTTTTAAACGGATAAATTTAGGTTAGGTTCTCTAGGTTATAAAGTATCATATGAACAATAATTACAATTTTAATTGAATATCTTGCGATTTGAAATAGTTAAGCAGTCATTCTTATCTTGCTGCCCTGGTGAATTAGATCAAAACTTTTAATTTTATGAGAAACTGGACCAAAATTAAAAGTTTACGTGTTACAGCGTTTTTCTTAAAAGCACTGTAATAGTAAAAAGTAAAAAACTGTATACTTCATTTTTTAACCATTATGTAAAAGAAAAATTCTTTATTTTAATATTTAATGTGTTATATTTAATTTTAATTTTGATTAACGATTATACAGGGTGTTTCAGGGTTAAATGTCAATACTGCCATGGCGGATTCACTAAATAAAACTTAGTTCAGTGCCACCAGAACGATGCTTTTATCTTTACTCTTTCCTGAATAATTAACGGTTTTGTGATTTTAGTCTAAAATCGATTTTTTATAATAAAATCGTCATTTTTCAACTTTAGCGTCATTGAAATACAAATATGACCTTCATTTCAAAATCTACATTAAAGTTCCCTTAATTTTTAACGTTTTTTTTTTTTCAACGTTTAAAGGTTTTTTTTTCCAAGTATTCCAACAACATACTCACTTACTCACTTACTCACTTTTACATTTTTTTACAATTTATTGTTAGGGAAATCTCCCCCGTTTAAAAAATGTGAGATTGAACCCAAAGAGAGAAGCAGCACGAGAAAATTGTACATCTCATATTTGTAATAAATACATTTATTAGTTGGTAACAAAAATTAAATATATTCTTCTCTTAAAGTGAACATAATTAAAGAAAAATTGCCATATATATAAGTTTTACAGTTTTATTAAAATTAACTAGCATTCAGCTTTATTCCTAGACGTATCACAAGCCTTTGACAAGATTTGGCATGATAATAAAAAACATTCCCAAAACAGTATGTTGAACTTTTGACCTTGTGTATTTTGAAAAGACTGGTCCAAATTAAAATCAAGACGAATACTCTGATTCGTTTAATATCAAGGCTGGTATACCACAAGGTAGCATCCTAGGCCCCATGCTGTACTTGATGTATTCAAGTGACCTAACACTGGTGGAAAACATAACCATCACATTTGCCGATGACACAGCTGCCTTCTCAGTTGAAAAATTGTCCCATCCATCCACAAACCTACTGCAAATGGCAAACAACAGCATCCATGAATGGACAGATACTTGGAAGGTTAAAATAAATTACCAGACATTCGTACATGTAACTGTCAGAAATAGAAAAATATTAGACAAGTCAATCTACTTCAATGGTAAAATAGTTCCCAAAATTCATTCAATATTTAGACATGACAATACATAAAAAATTAAATTAGAAAGCACATCTTAAAAAGAAAAGGAAAGAGCTTAATTTCAAATACAAAAATGGTGAATGTGAAATTAAAGAAAGGTTAAATTGAAGTTAAACGGAGTTTATTTGAAAAAAATGGAATTAAAAAGAGTTCATTTGAAATTTAAAAACTTTAATTTGAAGCTAAAAATAGTTAATTTTGATGGAAAAATTTATATTTATAACTAAAATCACTACCAGTGTTGCTTCAAGTTACTTTTCATTACTTTTCATTCCATTTCCAAAAATGTCATTGCAAAAAATAAAATATTTTAGCGTGGTCGATGTAATATTGTTTATTATTTAAACATTATTAATTGATTAACATTGGAGATCACCGTAATTCGGTTTTTCGGATGTTCCAGCTTGAGGCACCAGTCAGTTAATTTATGTTTCAATTCTCGATTTAATCAATAAAAAAAATCACGATGTCATCCACTGTGTTACATAGATGAGAAAACACAAAATTTAGTTGCAAATGTCATACAACTATAATAAAATTGTAACTTGTAAAATTGTAAAACTTCAGGCTACCCAGAATTTGGATACTACTTAAACCGAACAGGAAGACCGATGGTTTACTCTTGTAGTTGGCCCGTCTATCAGATTTATGCTGGAATTCAGGTAAAACAGTTTAAATGCAAATATTAAATAATTATCCTTTTGTGACTAATTAAATTTAAAAATTTGTTAAGTATGACTGTTGTTAATAAGTTAATCTGAAAAATATTTATACCATTTTAGAGAGAATTTATTTGCAAATGAATTTGTGTTAACAATTTTGTTTTAATTGGAGTATATACTTTGCCTTTATATCAATTAAATTCACTTTTGTTTCATACATTTTTCATTATTAATAATAATACAAGAAAATTAGCATTCTAATATATAATTTATCGTTTGCTTCACTTTAACAGCCAAATTTTTCTTCAATTATTGACAACTGCAATTTGTGGAGAAATTTTGATGACATTCAAGATTCTTGGTCAAGTTTGGAGAGTATAATTGATTATTACGGAAACAATCAGGACACCATTGTTCCAAATGCTGGTCCAGGGCACTGGAATGATCCTGATATGGTAAGTCATTTTTACCTAGCATTTGATTCAAATTTAAATAAATAAAAGTTTAATTTTATTCTTTAGAAATGGCACTTATATGATTAATTTTATTAACAATTTAATATTTTATATTTGTTCATTGCAGTTAATCATCGGAAATTTTGGCCTAAGTTATGAACAAAGCAAAACGCAAATGGCAATTTGGGCAATTCTAGCAGCTCCATTATTGATGTCAGTTGATCTAAGGTCTATAAGACCAGAATACAAAGCAATTTTGCAAAACAGAAAAATTATTGCCGTGGACCAGGACCCCTTAGGAATACAAGGGCGCAGGATCTATAAGGTTCTTAGTAAAACTTTAGTTATACATAATACATTTTTATTTAAATAAACTCAATATTCTTTTTAGCATAAAGGCATCGAAATTTGGGCAAGACCGATAAGCCCTCTCTATCAAAATTACTTTTCTTACGCTATCGCTTTTTTGAATCGGCGAACTGATGGCACCCCATCAGATGTAGCAGTCACACTTCAAGAAATGGGGCTTATAGCTCCTAGAGGGTACAGAATAGAAGTAAGTATGACAAAGTTTTTTTTTATTTTGTTTTTTTACTATTATTTTGGTCCTTTGAGACTCTGAGGACTAATAAGAATGGTCAGTGCTTAATCACCCTTATATGCCTATTTTCCCTATATAATTTGAAAGAAGTCCTTGAAAATCATAAATCCTGAAATAGAGATGTCCAAAACAAAATTCAAGCGTACCAGGATGGTTAGAGCACTGCAGTAGAAGAGTGGTTGGGGAGTCCGACTCATATTTGCCCCACTAGCAGTCCTGGGCTCGAATCTCATCAGAGCCCATGACTATTTAAGTGATTGCGATATGAAAAATGTGTTGTAAAGTCCCTCATCCATGACACCCAACAGCTAGTTGGGCATTAATTCCTCCTGTGTGACAGAAATTACTTTACTTTTTACCAGAATGGCGATCTTATTTTCAAACTGTTGTCAAAATGTGTTTGTTTAATAGATAGAAAATTATTTGCATTGCAGGATCTTTATGAAGATGTAGACTATGGAATTTTAACACCACAAACAAAAATAAAAGTAAAAGTTAATCCCTCTGGTATGAAAATGATTTTTTAATATAACATTGTCTTCTAAATCACATATAGAAACATTTAGAATTATTTTCTTTCAGGTGTTGTCATTCTCCGAGCAAATGTACAGCCCCTTTACACTCAAACAACACAGTATGATCCTTTTAGGATTTATACACCCGTTGACCGTAATAACTACAAAAAATAAAAAAAATGTGTGCTACCTTCAAGAAAACATGTGGAACTTTCTTCAAATGGTGCTGAATATAACATTATTTTGTAATATTGGAATCGTCTTGAATTTTAAAAATTTTATTTTACTTATGCATTAATTAATAGAATAAATAAAAATATATCTAACTGCAAATCTATGAAGTGGGATGAATGAATTGGCATATAATATTTGCAAAGTTATCAAATTATCAATCATTATATAATCATGGACATAATATACTAAATAATGTGTTATCTGCTGATCTGCAGTGAATTAATTTTTTAACTTTGTTTTATTTAATGCTTGTAGTCATGAATTTGATATCTTTCTGTTTTATTTAAAGTTATTTATGTTTCATATGATTATTACCAGAAGTTAAATATTTTGCATAAGAATGAGTGATCTTTCAATTGTATAAATATAGAAAATACTGATTATAATTTAATTTAGTGTGTTAATATGTAATCACTATGATGACTATCATAATTCAAATTATTTGGGTAATTTGTTTTATAAATATTTTTTGTTTAAGCCATAAGTTTATATTTCACATACGTACATTTTTGCTCTAACCCATTTTAAAAAAAATTGTATTAAAGGATATCCACATTGTCTGTATATATATTATGTTCCTATTTTGTTTATTTAGACAATTGCATTAACTTAGCAGTACCGTGAAACAATTATGGTAAAAATGCAACATAAAACTGCTTCCATTGAAACTGTCTCTGACAATAATTCTAACCAATAATTATGATAGCTGTTTTCGATCATAACAACACATTAAACTTTAAATAATTGTTTATTTAATTAATATTTAACACGTTAATAAGGATTCAAACGGTAAATATTTTTACTGTTTCCTTGTTTATTGCTCACAGAATTAAGTTCTAACACTTAAATCATTCCAATTGTACAATAGGATATATAGAACACTGTTTATTATGAACAGTGAGAAAATAATTTGCCATTAAATATGTTTTGTTTGTTTGTATTTAGCTATTATTTTTTGTAGCTTAATTTTCTGTCAGTTAGGCCTTATTAAAAAAATGATTTAAATATTTATATAGATATGTAATTTTATGAGGATAAAGATAAAATAAACGATTGTAATTAAAAACAAAATGTGGTATTTAATTTAAGATTAAATTGTACATTTTCATGTAAATGTAAATACGCTACTGTAATGTTAGGAGAGTTTGTTATAGTTTATACAATGCACAATATACATAACTTTCTGTTTATGATCTGAACATGCTGCTTTTACTGTGGCCACTTCTCTGGTAAATTTTGTATAAATAAATTTCTTAATTCAATTAGTATTTTCTTTTCTTATTTCGTTCAACTGATGGTGAATGGAGTTTCAATAGTTTTTATACATAATTTGTAATTGCCAATAAAAAAAAAGTAAAGGCAAAAACAAAATAAATAAAATGTAGCTTTAAGGTGTATAGAAGTGAGGTAGATGTGAGAAAGGAAGGCAAACAATTTTTTATGGAGAAAAGCATACGTTTTTCCAGCTGATTATCTTTCATTTGCATCAATTGAAACCTTTTTAATCTCAAATTAACCTTATGTTGCATCACATTAACCTTTTCTTAAAAGCATTAAAGTGATTTAAGAGATGGTATGAAATAATATAAGCAAAGAAAGTAAATTTTATGCATATTTGTGATTTTTGTTTAAATACAAAACAATTGGGCTCTTAGATTACTGTATGGAAATGAATTAACATTGAAATTAAAAATTACATAAAATTACATAACACGAAGTTGGGAAGAACGCCGACCACATAGGCATAGCCAGGAATGAAGATGCAGATAGGGCGACCAAAGAAGCCGCCGGAAGCCCCAACGACCCGTCCCAACCTGTACACCTAGTTGATTTAAAACTATTACAATAATTTCAAATACAATAAGGAGAAAGGAAAAACTGCTGGGCTCGTAAAAGTAAATATAACCATGTCAAATTGTGGTCCCAGGATGATGGAGAACGGGTTGAGAAGGGAAAAGGCGAATAGGGCATACAAGAATAACTCATGGGCTCTTTCTGGCCAAAAGGCTACCGCATAATAATTATTATGCGTTATATAATAATTAAATTTAATTTCAGAAGTCTTGACGTTTATAGGCAATGTCTTGTATATCATCAGATGTAAATACCATTGAAAAACAATAAAGCAAGTATTTGATATTAGAGTCAATTAAATATCCCGATTTGACATCATTATATATATTATGCAGGGTGGGCGACCAAGACGCGAGGGGTTAAATGCCTGGGTAGACTCGTACCCCATCCCTAAAATGTCCGGGACTTGGTCGGCTCACGTGTCCTGTATAAACCTCTTGGACTTGTTTACAAACCCCAAGATTTTGGACCATTTTATCTCAGGGAGTGATATGATGTTCTTTCCTTCAAAGATTTCAAATCTAGACCTAGCATACCTATCACATTCTGCGAGGTAGTGCCTTGCCGTTTCTTCTTTTATTTCACAGAAGCGGCAAAAGGGGTCCGGTAGAATACCCATTATGAAGAGGTGTCTTCTCAGTGGGCAGTGGCCCGTCAGAATACCTATCAGCCTCCTAATTCCCTTCCTTGAGATAGAGAATAGCCATTTCGATTCTGCTGGTTTGATCGCCTTAACAAACTCTTTCGATTGCCTGTGTCCGGGGGATAAATTCCACTCCCTAAGGAATTGTTTCATGCCCCAGTTANTCCGGGGATCTCTACCTGTGAGCATTATGGTACCATCATCTGAAAATAATTGACTGTAGAAACCTGAATTATTCAGAAGTTCTATTAAGCTGTTTACTGTAATTAGCCATAAAAGAGGTGACAAACAGCCTCCCTGTGGACAGCCTCCTTTTACATTAATTCTAAGAGTGCTACCACCTAAGCACATATTGACCATCCAAGTAGGTCTTCACCCATCTAGTAAGGTGATGGTCGACATTGTAATTATCTAATGCTGATATAATGCAAGAAATATCAGCATTATCAAACGCCCCTTGGATATCAAAGAAGCACCCTAGTGTACATTCATTATTAAATAATGATTTCTCGATCCTGCCTATTAGTGAGTGAAAGGCAGTTTCCACTGATTTTCCTGGTAAGTCGGCATGCTGATTGGGATGTATCATTGTATTAATTCCACATTCATGCCTAATATATCTATCTAAAATTTTCTATATAATTTTTATGAAAATAGAAGATAAACTTACAGGTCTATATGATTTACGTAATTGATATGAGACCTTACCTGGTTTGGGTAAGAAAATTACCCTTATTTCCTCCCAGCATTTTGGTATATGTCCCAATGCCAGACTACTCCTTAGGAGATCCCATACTGTACTAGATAGACTAGGTGTATCCTGCTAAAGGAGGGCAGGGAATATTCCATCCACCCCGGATTTGACATCATTACTATGTACAGAACTAGAACAGAAATCTCCATTAGAAATATCAAGCCAAAGTCTTGACTTTTTTTCCATTTTCGCAAAGTGATGTTCAAACAGTGCATGTGAGTTGTTCTGCAGGTGTTAAACAGTGTAAAGATTTTGCCTGGTTCATCATTGCTGTTTTAAGGTAAGGATTGTGGCCTTCAGAGGGTAAATTTCATGTATATAACATCTTATGTTTGTATGTATCTTGTCTACCATTCTCTGATTATAGGTTAATTTTTTCCCTTTTCCAAGGGGATTTACAAAGTCAGGTTAATGAAGATGTTAGTATTAAGACATGACTAAAACATTTCAGCCAGCCACAATTTTTTACATATATCAACGTTTCCATATATATACATAGTCTATTATTGTCCATGTTTATCAAATTTGTCGTACATATAAACAGTGTTTAAATAATAATTCCCTCTCCCCTCAGATGAATGGATATAATTTTTTGAGTTTTTATCATGAAGTATTTTTATATAAACAATCGTGATTACATCAGTAAACTCATTAGACTAGTGTTTTGTAAAAAAAATTTTAAAAACCTATTCTATTGGTTTCAAAGTATTTGCGCCAAGATTGACAATTTTTAAGTGACTTTTCTAGTTAACAGTTCCGTCAAAATTAAGACCTATGTTAGTATGAGATCGGTTTGTTTCCTTTAACTAAATGTGAAGTGGCGCAGGGCCCATTCTTTTGCTCATTGTTTTTGATCTAATAGATGCAATAAGAAAATTATTATAAGTTATTATTAATGAAGTAAGTGCAAAATGGTTCACTAGATTACTACTTAACATCAAAATATGGGCACTTTAACTGAAATCTGAAAACAAATTGCACAAAAAATAAATAAATGATAAAAAACAACAAAAAACAGAATAAAAAAATAAGAAACATAATACTAAAGAAATAAGTAACATAACACCACCAACATTTATTTAATGGGAAAAATTCCAATTACAAATACAGTTTATAAGAAATATTAATACATAAATATTTATTTTAAAAAAACATTAAAATAAAACAATTTAAAAAATATGTGAAACATATTAAACAAGGCACTCTCAACATGACACCCAAGAATGACACATCTACATGGAAAACAAACACTGAGCCATGAAGATGATATCAATAAAGATTGAAACGTTGGCACGATAAAGAAAATGCTTTTCTAAAACCAGACCGCATTTCACGATTTCCAAATAATCATTAACTAACGGTCACTAAACACCACACACATTAAACAAAACAATATCAAAATATAATCATAAAATAAAAATAATATATTTATAGCATATTTAAGAAAAAAACAACCATTATAATTAGGTATTTGATCACAATAACTAAAGAAAAAACATTTACAGCTGCAAACATTTGAAATTCAAAAAATAGCTCCTTTTTTCTAGATCAGTTGAAGTTTTCTTGAGTTCAGAAAAACGAAAAAGCAAAAATATAACATTAAATAAAACACTGCCAAAATAAATAAATAAATAAAATAAAAATAAGAAGGAACAGAAGTTAAATCACCCTGCAATTCCAGTTTTCGTTAAGAAATCTTTTAACCATTATGTAAAAGAATTTCTTATTTTAATATTTAAATTTATTTTCACATGGTATTTTAAATAAGAGCCAAAATTTATATTTGAAAAATCTCGAATTTATAATGAAAAAATAATATGTTTATATATATTTAATTGTATATAACTTTTAACTGCAATTAATATGCGTATGGTTTTTAAGTTATTTTTTGGTTTTTCAAAAGAAGGGTTAATTTTAAATTTAAAAAAGTTAATCTAAGTTAAAAAGGGTTAATTTGAACTTTTAAAAAGTTAATTAGAAATAAAAAAGTAAATAAATAGATTTTAAGCTGAACCAAGTGGAGGTAGAAAACCTACCTGAAACACCCCCCTGATTACTCCCTGCTTTCATCGTACGGTGGGATTTGGCAAAATTAAAAAAGAACGAGACACCCCACTATGTATATAAAGGAATTTTTGAAGCCCTGAAAAACGAATATAGAGATGCCAGACCCGTCTTCACAGACGGGTCAAAAACGGCAGAGGGCGTGGGGTGTGCCGTGTACACGGAGGGAGAAACAAAAAAATTGTCACTCCCTCCCGCCGCGAGCGTGTACACGGCGGAACTAAATGCCATATCCCTCGCACTGAGCATAATAAAAAGTCAGCCTCACGAATCATATGTAGTATATACCGACTCGCTCAGTGCGGTCCAGAAGCTCAGGAGAAGAAGCTCCGTGGACCCATTAGTAAACAAAATAAAACAACAATTAAAAGGGATCGACACAGTTGGGAAGAAGGTCGTATTGGTGTGGGTTCCCGGCCACATAGGGATAGCCGGGAACGAAGCAGCAGACAGGGCGGCCAAAGAAGCAGCCAGAGGACCCCACGACGCTTCCCAACAAATACGCCCAGCGGATCTCAAGTTATTAATTTCAAATACATTAAAAGAAGAATGGAAAAACCGCTGGGCTCGGCAAAATAGGAATAACCCTGCCAAACTGTGGCAGGTTAAGAAAGACGTCGGTCCCTGGTTCACGGAAAATGGGTCAAAAAGGGAAAAGGTCATACTGACAAGACTACGCATAGGTCATACAAGGATTACACACGGGCACCTTCTAGCAGGAAAGCGACCTCAAAGGTGCCCATTATGCAAAGATAGAGTAACAGTCGAGCACCTTTTCAATTGTAGAAGGCTCGACGTTTATAGGCAATATTTTGGAATATCGTCGGACCTGTGCGTAGTCTTGGGGCACGGCAGCGGGCACAAATCGCTGTACCGGTACCTCAGGGCTATAGGGATCTTCAAATGTATATAGTTTATGTGTGTTTGTTCTGTGCTTGTGTTGTGTC